AGGAAACAAGGCCGCAAAGGCCCCTGGGATACATGCTGGTAATGGTCAGGAGAACTAAGAAGCTGAAGGAGAAACAAGTCACAGGAAGCCACTGAGTGGATAATCATCCATCCGGAGCAATGAACAAGGCACCTGCCTGTGGCTTATTCTCAGCATGGCTTAAGTGGGATGTGTGAACTTGTCCACAAATTTTTTGAGTTTTAACAAAAAATCTTCAGCCAACTGAATGTAACCTTTTAGCTTACGATTGGAAATTAGAACCATCTTGCAAGGAAATATTTCTGCATGGAATAGGAATTCTACTGAACAAACAAAAAGACATATTTGCTTAATGTAGAGAATAACTATTTGACTGCCTATATGATATAAAACTTAAAAGTCCTATTATCACTTCATACACTTGTCAGAGCATATTCTAAATTAGTAAAAGGCCTGTTACCTAGGGCTTAACTCCAACAAAACATTGATACAGTGGAAGTTTCTTTTCTTCCCACTGAAACCCGGCACATGTCCCTCAGGCCTGCTCCGGAGGCTGTAGGAGAGATGAGAAATTTGATCCGCCACTGATGTCTGTTCTGCTGGAGAAAAACTACTGGACATGCCCAAATTAAATAATACAACATATTCCCTCCTGATTTAGTGGTCAGATTTGCCAATACAAAGAAATATAAATAGGAAACTCGATCTAAATCAACTATTTAAATTGACTTTTCTTTTATCTAACTGTGGTTTAAAATCACTGTTTTAAAACAGAAATCAATCCATTCTGTTTTAAATTGTCCCCCTTTCTTTAAAGAAATTTGGCACAGGTTACATTCTGGTCATGCCACTATAACATTTACTTTATTTTATATTGAGCTATTAAAACAAAAACCCAAAATGAAAGTATCAGCCAGAACAACAAGAAGGCACTTTTTCTGTTTGATGGATGCTGTTTTAATCTCTTCTTATCAGCAACAAGGTAATTTTAAAGCACATACTGCTTACTCATTTTAATCCAGAATGCTGATACACTAGAGTGACTATACGTGGGCGACAGCGTAACACTCTTCCCCTGTTAGGGCATCAAGAGTTCACCAATATTCACATGACTCCCCCAAAAGTCTCACCGTGTAAATGTTAACACTATCAACCCAGTTTCATTTACTGTAAGCTACAACCACTTGAAACACGTGCACACACAGGAATTCCAGTAGAGAAAAACACCAAAACGATGAGTAATAGTTTGCTAACCAACACCTTCAAATTCTGCTTTCACCTACAATGACATTGTAGTTTTTAGACTCTCTCTTGGGGGTAAGGCCATACATTTCTGTAGTTACAAAAAAATCTTGTTCATTCATTTACTATGTAGTTACAGCAGGAAACTAAAGACTGAAGTTTTGTCAAGCAACATGGTTCTTTGTATCTGGCAGCTGTGGACTGTGGCAGACCAAGAATTGTATCCAGTGATGTTATTTCACTAGCACAAAGCTTCTACCAATTGCACAAGTGTCAGATCCAATATTTTGATTCTGCTTACAAGACTTGGCTGTCTTATGTTCAATCTGTATTCGACACACAGTTTGCCTGCAAGTTTGTTCTCAACTAGGTATGATAATAAAGCTAAAATATAACAATGTAAAAATGAAACATTAAAAATCAGACTGTAAAAAACTGATAGCTAACAAAACTGTATCCTGCACCTGGGAGAGTGCAATGAATTCTCAACCATTCCTCTGCTTACTAAGAAGAACAACTATATCTTACAATTCTAGCCTATGAAACAGTAATACCAACTGCAAATAAGATAAGATGGGGTTTGGGGAGTACCAAAGAAGATAAGCCAACTGTTACTGGCTGTAAGAATACACTATTAATGTAATTTTCTGGTAAAGAGACTTTCCTTAGGCTCATTTACACAGAAATTCCATAGAAGATCTAACTTCTATTTTATAGATTTGAAACTCCATGAATCTTCCAATTTAAATGGGGCTCTTTCCTCTGACTGTCATTAATACAAGCTTTCTGTTAACATGGGTAGGCAATATGTGGAGAGGTACAGTTCTGACTGGGACCGTAGTATGTCACAATCCTGGCTTGGCTTGCTCTCTACCATCACCATTGTCCTTTATGACATTAGGAAATCAACCACCCAGAGGCAAACTGTATGACAGATATCCTTTCTAGTTGGTCCTTAAAGTTTTGCAAATGTGGGTGAAGTCCCTTATGAACACTGAAGCCATGTGGATATTTCTCCCATTTGAAATGACCAGTTCTTGCACAAACACAACTGAGCACAGAGAAGAAATTCAAAGCTATGTTAACTCAGCAAAACATATGTTCCCAAGTTGGCACTTAGCAAGATAACATAAATGTACTGTGGGTTGGAGGGACATCTGCAGAAAAGAATTGGTTGGCTGGGAGGAGAAGGAAGACCTTGGCTTTTTCCACATGCACTAATTCCACTCAAGCTGAAGGCAATTTGCTCTTTTGCTTCTCAGCCCACAGCTCAGCTAGGGGAGGGGAGAATGGACTAAAAAGGCCTGGCAAGGAAAACCTGATGGGCAGAGGAACCATTAGGCTCTCCCCTCCCACCAGTTTGCCCCTACAAACATCCCTTCATACACACACGTTAAAAATTTCATAAAATACAGCACTGAAAAATCCATGCTTGCATAATGACATAAGAATTTTCCTACAAGGCTATTTCCATATAGGACCCCCCTCCACACATACACACACACACTTCATTGTTGGGCCACCTGTAGCTGAAGCTTTCTCATTTGCAGTAGAAATCAGACTTTCTTACAATTAAATTATGTTCATGGAGGAAGCTATTCTGGGAATGACGCACCCTGAAAAATTCTTTCTTGGAACACTAAGTGTTTGTGTTTGGCAAAACTTGCTGTTTTATAAGGACAGGGACCAATCAGCAGTGGCTTGAGAGCCACCTGACCAGGACTTCTACTGGGCCAAGGCTAGCTGATTTCGAGTGACAGTAGAATAACACTTCCCTGGTAGTGAGAGAAACCAACTAATAAAACTACATATTGCAGCCTTTTCAGAAGTCTCTAACTGATAGGTTTTGTTTGCTGGTAACTGAGGAAGAAGATGTCTGTCCTCCCCAAAAAATTGGGAGATTGGGAGATTAATTGGGAGATTAATTACAAAATCAAAAGGGGTAGGTAGGGCTCTGACATCTATGCTCCAAACAAACTTCAAAACTCGTAGTGCTCAATGCATGAACAAACCAGCACAGGCTGGTAGAACAATTGGGTTCAGCTGCAAAGTGACCACTTATGATTGGACTGTAATCAAATATTCCACGAAGGCAAAAATGCCACTGTGTAGATGGCAACTTTACAAAAAATAAATTGTGTCATTTGTTAGCAAGGGCAGCAGGGAAGGATACTTGTGTCAGGCAAAATGAGAGAAAGTTCTGCCATAATATGGCTGCTTAAAGCCTACTAAGAAGAGCTTTAGACTTAAGGTGGGATACAGGTGTGATCAGGAAACCATGCTGCAAACCTTGTTGGCTGCACATACCTTAGACATGCTAATAAATGCTTGTTCAGAAAGTTTTTACATCTTTTTCCTTTTGTGTTGTCTCTCTTGATCCATTCAATCCTTTAATTTTTCCTCTCATATGCCTCTAGCAAACTGCCTACATGATCCTCCCCTCCTCCAAACTGTGTACGTCACTAGTAGGTTAATAAAAGCATCCTGTACAAATGCCATCTTTGTAGTCCCTTTGGGGACTACCTACATGCTGCATGCATTTTCTGCATATATGAATAAACTGGAAATATTCTTTTGATTGTACACCCCAGCATACTTTCATTCACTTTTTCTTGACACTTGCATGTAACCTTGAACAGACAGGGGGCTAACCTTGAAGTATAGCAATGCTTCTTTTCTTAGTCACCTATTAGAACTGCAGACATATCCAAACAGAAGCAAAGGTTTATGTTTAGGACCACCCAAGATTCAGTGCTGCTTGCTAGAGGAACTAGGCAGCACCCCAATTCATAAGATCCAGCATGAGATTCTGTAAAGCCCCTGTACAGGACTGGGTTTGGGTCTAGAAATTTAACAACTTTTATACAATTAAAGGGCAGTCCTTTGCATGTATAGACAGAAAAAATGCTATACAACTCCCAGCATTCCCCAGCCAACACTGCTGGGAGCTGTAAGACTCTTTTTTCTGTGCAAACATACATATAATGGCACCCTATTTGTTAACTGTTACTGTGCAATAGCAATTAATTTGTTATTCTGATAAAGCTGGGCATTTAAAAACATTTGACCATTATTTGACTTATAAATTAACATTTAAAAAAACCCAACCCTGGTCAGTATCCTCTTGGCATATACACAATGTGAAAGAAACCTGTAGCAAAGTAATTGGATTCATCTGAAAGATGATTTGAATTGTTACCCTTCATCTGAATTGACCAGTGTTAAGTTTCATAAAGTTCTCATAAAGGAAGAGACACCCAACAGAATTGGAGCAAGTTATTCAAATCTTGTATATTATAAACTAAAGGAAATGATTCAGCCAGGAAGGCTATCTCAACAGTAACGGGATTTCTGTTTATAGTGTAAATGTTGGAAAGAAAACTATCCACATGGGTTTTAAGGAGAACCCTTTGAAAATCAGGGACATTGAACTATAGCTGAGAGCTGTACCAAGACTGCAACAGACAGCACTGCATTCTGAACTAATTTTCCCAGGAGAGCTGGGGAGCACAGTTCTCTATACCACTTGTGCTCAGTGTTCAGTCTGTCTGCAACATAGAGTTTGCCTGCAAATCTCTTCTCAACTTGGCATCACTCTAAAACATAACAATTTTAAAAAGTGAAACATTTAGCATTCAACTACAAAAACCTGATACACAGCAGAACACCACTCTGCCTATGTGAGAAACTGGACAAGTGGGAAAAGCAGCTGAACCTTAAAGTCCAGTAAATGCTTAAGCAACACAACCTGCAAAAAGAAAGAAAAGGAACATGCTTACCATTGAATTTCTTTTCCTTTCTTCAGTCTATGGTCTTTGTAAGAAGGTGTCCCCAGGAATATAAACTGTGATGTAGAGATGGTAAGTGTTTTATTAAATAAGGGTTTAAAAGAACTATTACCAGCAAAGACATAATGTAAGTTATTTCCCTCCATTAAAAAATAATTCATGAAATGATTAAGAGGAGAGAAAAAACGCAACTCAGTCTTCATGTACACTGTAACCAGATTACTCATGCTGACTCACCAACCACCACTTCCTCCCTTTACATTCTTTTCATATTTCAGAGTATGACTAGCCAACTTCTCAGGATCTCTGTATCTCAGATTCTTCCAGGAAGGAGACTTTTTAGTCCATACCACAGGAAATATTTTCTGTTTAAATAAAGACTTCCTGCTCTCCAATCTATTCCATCTGATGGAAACAGCTGTAATTCACATTGAATAATGACTATGGGGTGTTGTTGCTGGTTCCCCCTCCTGCACTCACACACAGATCTGGCTCACATATAATTCCCAATTCCTATGTTAAGTAACCCAGAAATCAAAGTGACCAGATGAGAGCAAGCATGCTGAGTCCAATCTGTTCACTATTTCCCCTTTCTGAAACAAGAAACCATGGGTGATTGTTGGGTTAACTCTGAATTGTTTAACCCTTATATAACCCCATTCTTCTGGGTTTGGACACCATGATAACAGCCCAAGAATAGGTAATGGAAAGCAGAAGCAATGTGCACACAGGAAGTAATGTTATTTAATGCTGCTTATCCCCAACAATTCCTGGGTTAAACAACTCACAAATTGTTGTGGCATGCAAACTGGGTTGTAGAGTCAGAAATCACAGGAAGTGTTGAACATTTAGTAGATATATTTGAAATGCCTATCATTTCTTCTCTTATCTGATTTATATTAATCTTTCTCAAAATGAAAAATAAGGAACATTAAAACAACAATCACAAATAATGAAACATACTGTCATAATGAGAAAGATGTGTATGTACAGCAATTCTGTGCAAGCACTGAAAAGCCTCTGGCATTTGACTGTAGAAATTAGCTTCTGCAAACTGTCAACTTTATGACTGCAAATAATTGATTGAAATGGGGAGGGGCATATGTCCCACTTCTCAGAGAAACCTCATTCAGTACAAAGACAATGGAACCCCAAGAAGGGGAAGGGGCTGGGGCCTTCAAGTTGCCCATCAACAGAAGGCTGAACAGGCAACCAGTCAGACTCTTCTGCCACTGTGGTAAGATTTAAATGATACTACTCATTTCTAAGCATGTATGTGCACACTTGGCATGTGCAAATCAGTGTATGCAATATTTAGTGAAGCATTTCATCTTTGGGCAATATGCTGCTGGCCACCCATTGAAAGCTCCGCAGTGAGAATGATGGCTTCTAAATTAGAGTTCCAGTAGTTAGAGGGGTGGGGCACCAGCAGACTATACATCCACTTAACTAGCAGAAACTGAATAAACTATGCCGAAATCCAAATACCATAAATTTGCATAACAGGATGCAAAATTCAGTTTTTCTTGGAATGTAATTTGGGGCACTCTTGTGCAGAATTATATGGTCAGCATACACATATAATGCACATACCAACACACACATTGAAATCATCTTTTAGAAATACACATAAACCTCAGTCTCAAAACTCCTTATTACTATTACTATTCACATCACCAATATACAATGCACATTGCATCCCTCAATTTGATTGAGCAACTGTATCTCTAGAATCATAGGAAAACAAAGCTGCCATAATACTGACGTTCGACTCCAAATCCACCTAGCAAAGAATTGTAGACATGAGCTGGCAGCGGTTCTCTTGAAATTATTCTAGCCCTATCTGGAGGTGCTGAAGATTGAAGTTGGGATCATCTACATGCAAAGCATTGGTTCTACCACTGAGTCATGGCCCTTTACCTAGGGAACTGGTAGGAAATGGTAACACCTTTAAAACAACTGAACAAAGCTGGTAGCCAGCCTTCCAAAATAAACTAAGACTTACCATATTTTTCTACTGCCCAGTGCCATGATCATAGCCATACCAAAGTCATATAGTATGTATGGCATGTAGCCATTCCATAACTCAGGCCTGATGGGCTCTACTGGCCTTACCGTGGTATTACTAAAATTACATTGTACATTTAACTTTCTTTCTCTTGCACAGAGCCGAAGGTGACTTACAAGGTTCTCCTCTCCACTGTATGTTCACAACAACAACCCTATGAGGTAAGTTAGGCTGAGAGTCCATGACTGGCCCAAAGTCACCCAGTGAGCTTCACGGATGAGTGAGGACTAGAACTTGGATCTCCTGAGGTGTAGTCCAGCACTCCAACCACTATACCTCACTGGTTAAGTGCAGAAGTTCCTACCCAGAAGATTTACATTTTGCATTAGAGGGGCAAGAGAAGTCAGGAATTGAACAGGAGCAGCAGGGACAGGCCAGTGAAAATCAGGTGGCAGCAAAAGAATTAATCATTAGTGTTACACACTGATGTTTCCTGTAACAAGCATATAAATTAGGATTATAGATGTGCCTCCTTAATCATCTGTGTATATTCACCTGGGAGGTTTAAATGCCCATGGTGTCCCAATATATAACCATGGGCTTGAGCATGTTTGCTTTTACTTTTCACTTTCCCTTGAAGTGTTTGGTGCAGAAAGCCTATGAAGGAGCAGACGTGGTTTGTGCCCTAAAGTAGAAGAGGAACACATGTTGCCCTAACAATCCATGGATAATAATTAAATGAGGGATAATCATTATGTGTGAATTGAGCTTAGGGTCAAGGGTCTGAATAGCCAAAATTTGCCACTATTATAGAAACAGAAACACAGTGAGTCTGAAGGGGTCTCCTGGGCTAATCTGGCCCTGGCTCCAGCAGCCTCCACTCATGGAATACCCAGCATGTGCTTGTCCAATCTATGTGTAAACCCAGCATGTGCTTGTCCAATCTATGTAATATACACCCTTTAACAGATGAAAATTTACAACAGCAAACATTACTATTAAAACAACCAGGACCTGATTAAAACAAAAATAATATTAAAGGCCTTAGCCTTTGCTGCCAAAGTAAAGGAAACTCTTAAGGTGCTGACACAGAATGACAATGCCAGGTAAAGCCCTCTTGGGAGAGTGTTATACAGCCTGCAGGACCACCACTGAGAAGTTCCTCTCCCTCTGCCATCCTTCAAACCTCCTTAATAGGAATTACCATTTTCTAATACCGTATAGAAATGCCATATAATTTTTCCCTATGTGTGGGTTAACTGTAGATAAATAGCAATGTCTATACATGTTAGCTCACCAGCACAGCCTTCGTAGGCTACAAAAAAGCCACAAATGAGGATCATTTAAACCAACATGTCTCAACATGCCAAGGTGACAAGTCTCAGTTCTTTTTTGAAAAGTTACCAAGCAATGGCTACCACAGAAGCATTGCCTACACTTCCTGTAGCCAAATCAAACCATATCTGTTGATATACCAATCCTATGCATTTTTATTCAGGAACAAGTCACATTGTGTTCAATGGGATTCTCCCCTGCCCCCATAAAAATGTACAGAATTCCTTGATATAAAGAAGCATCTACATCTGATCTTTTTCCTTTCATTATAGGAAAAAAGTTATCCTTTACCTGGATATCTCTCACCCAGGAAGCCCTTGTCTATCAAGTTGTATATCTTAGGAACCAACATTAAAGCCTGTTGGTTCTGATGCCTGGAACGGCTGTGCTCCCATAGTGCTTCAGAACTTGGCTCTTCAGGGTAAATGCAAGGTAAGCAAATTTCAAAAAGCAGTAACACATGGACTCCCCCACCCCAAGCCCACCCCACCCCAAGCCCACTTGTATGCTTACTATGACTCAGAGTTTTGCTGTTGCTTTCTTTCACTTCTCTTTCACCAGTTGCTCCTCTACTGACATTGCAAAAGCACTAATTCAGAAAAAGAACTGGTTGTAAGGAGAAGAAATGCATGCAGTTGCCTGGCAGCCCCAGACTTCGCCTACAGTTACCTTAAGCCAAAAGTTCCACTTGAGTTTCAGCAGTGGGAGGGGAGATGGAGTAAAGATGTAAATCAGTTGCATATACACTCTTGAACCCTGAAATATTGCAGGGGGGAAGCCTCCGTCGTCTGCTTTATTACTACCCCCAAACAAAATGGCTGTTTCAAACAAAATGGCTGTTTCAAAGGGCTGCCACATGGGCTACAATAACCTATTTAGTTCTTGGCCTGCTTAATAAACAACTGCATCTTAAGTTGAAAAATCTTTGTACTGTGTATATGCTACTCACTGTGCTTAAGCTGTAGCGTGCAGCCACGTTTGTTTTATTACAGTCATGGACAGGCAGGAAGAATGATCAGGGACTGAAGCATGCCAGGTTTATCCTTTCTTTCCAGAGCCACAATCCCTTGCCCCTGAAAGTTGCCCTCTCCAATGGGGTTACAAGGCCTAGTAAAAAGAAGTTTCCACAAATGCCAATGGCAACTGCTTTTAGCTGGGGTTTTTAGCTGGGGCCATGTAGCTGGGGTTGTAGGAAAGACTTTTGTGGAGGTCACAGCTGAAAAGGGGAGACATAACCTTCCTTCATTGTGTTCAGTAACAACACCCCACAAATTGGATATAATTAATTAAACTACAGATGTAATTACATCCTAAGCATTAAGCATCATGTGTACTTTGGCTTTGACAGAAGAGTTAAAGTGTAAAAGGAACAAGAACGACATAATATATACTATATATGCAGCAACTAAGGTGAATTTGTAAGACTAGGTCCTACTCCCAGTTTCAAATGAAATGTGTATTTGTGCCTGTTTGTTATCTTTTTTGATACTTTGCTTACACTGTAGATCATAGAACCAAAAAAAGTTTGCGGATAGCCACACAAACATCATGGAACTTGTTATATTATCCTCCAGAAGGAAACAGCAGCATTCTGTACTCCTGTTCTTAAGAGTTTTATTTCAAATAAATAAAAAGGATCTCTTAATTTATGTTCATGGGAAATGTAGCCACTTCAGATGAAGTGGATGGACTACAGAAGTAGGAACACTTATCTTGTAAAAAGTCAGCTCATTTTCTGGGCAAGCAGAACTGTTATCTATATATTTTCATTCAATGTGAAGGAAACTGGATAACCTATTTGCAAAGTTGAAACTTCCAACAGTATATAG